GTCAAACTTTGACAACTGCCACACATAATTAAAGGAAGTTCAATTGAATGTAAATGACTTTGATGAAGTCATTATGAGGTATTCTTCAATGGTAACAGTTCTATTGAGTGTTATGGATTAAACGGTAGCTTGATATTTGATTTATGTATGAGACAATTTGACCAACCTGGAAAATATGATGGAGTGTGGTACTTAATTGTGAAAGATACGGTTTAGAGAACACTAACTAATAAAATGCTTTCTTTACTTCCCTATTCATTTTTATGTGTTATTAGAGTACACTAATTATAAGTGTTCTCTGCCCATTGTGTGGTATTGATAGATGAAGTGAGATTGGATCAATGGTTCGGCCCGCGGTGGTGGTGGTGACTGGGGACAGCGGCGACGCGTGGATGTTCTGTCACCGGGGACCAGATTCGTTCTCATGACCGTGTACTCGACTACTTGTTGCTAATCTATGCCTAAATTAATTTTAAGTTTGCTTCGTGATGGAACACGTTGCAGTCACCTATCTGTACTCATACTATGTTTTTTCCCCTTAGGAACTTCTAAGGCTCATCTGTTATTTTGGTATCAGGAACTATGGTGTCCCACTGCACTTGATTCTCGAGTTGTTTGAGACCTTCTGCAACTTCAGAATTCACATTTCAGATTATGTTTGCGAGTTGTTTGAGACCTTCTGCGACCCTAAATCATAGTCCCAACCTTCTGCAAATTCTAAGGCTGGTCTGTTATTTTGGTATCAGGAACTATGGTCCCATAATGTGCCTTGAACACACTTCCAAGCTCCCAACCATCATCAATTGTAGTCTCAAATCAGATTAATAGTTATGCAAATTTATCCAAGAATGTGCAACATAAGCATGCTGTTTGTATTGGTTGATCGTTGAATTCTCAAATTATTTCTTGCGAAAGTAAACAACTTTGTACTAAATCACTTACTTTTGGAATGGTGGGAGTAGTTTTTGTTGTAAGGATCATACTACTTGTCAATCTCTGGGATCTATAATAATATTTATCCTTAATCTGTTTTTTGTGCAGATAGAGGAGGATAAAGAAATGGTATCCAGATTGTGTAGATACTAACATTGTATTAAGAGTTCGTGCTAGCTATTTCTATTTGGAAGCAATTCCTTCTATTTTGAAGCTGTAGAAACAAATGGTCTCATACTCAAGTTGGGAATCACTGTAGACTAAAACATTATGTATACTTGTGCTCAGTACCCAGACTATTATAATTTATTGTTTTCGTGCCTTCCAGGTGATGTGCCCAACATGATTCTACATGAGTATGGCAATGGGAAATGAGCATGATTGTACCTATAAATATATTTTTTCATCAAGTTATAATTTTTTGGTTAAGATAAAGGACACAGTGGTGTATCAGTTAAATGCCCAACAACAAACATCGTATTTTCTTTCATGGTAATGCGCCATTCAACTGTATCCTTCTTTGCCAGGGAGCGTCATGGGTGATGCATGCCTCCTCCCTCTTGATGACGGTGGTGAATCAACACAAACACGTGGGGAGGGGATCAAGGTGGAAAGTGGGGCGGTTGGCGGGGGATTCCTCATTGGCCATCCGTGGGGAAGTATGATGTGAAGGAGAGAGGACACCATGACGAAGGTGATGTGGGCATCGTCTGGTTTTAAAGGAGAGAGCTCCAGCGAGAGATGTCCTGCTACGGCGTGGAACTGAGCGGGAAGGGGACAGTCCAAAAAAAAGGAAGGTCGAGAAAGTTGAATTCGGGAAGCTTGCCGAAGATAACACAACAACCATATTTCTCCCTACATAATCTAGATTTGGGACTGCTCGGATGGCCGAGACAGTTGAATTCGGTGAGCTTGTCATTTGATGTCCGAACACGCTTGGACGTATAAGGAAAAAATGAGCTTTAACCTTGAAGACCATGTTAGTTAGTTGTGTAACTTATTTATATTTACATGCATTTTAGCCCATAGCAACGCACGGGCATTCTACTAGTATGTATAGGAGTACAGTTTTGAGTTTATGCCAGACCTTGTTGGTTCTTTTTCTTGTAATATGTTAGCGTGTTGTGTGGAATAAATACTCACTCGTACAAGGGAAGTGAAAACTTGTTCAAACATGCTTGCCTAGGCAAACCCCAGCAGACAATGTACACCAGCAATTTCATCGCTTGAGATGGTCAACAAAACAGAGCAAAACCAGCTGAAAGAACTGCCGTGGGTCAAGAAGGTCAGCATCGCTTAAACACACTAGCTACAGAGCAATTTATAAAGGAACTCAAAACAGGGGTATAGAGAAAGCAAATTTGCTAGACATAGCTCGGCTAAGCATGCACGAGCTCCAACAGCCATGGCTTGTCTACTAAGGTGACTGATGATTCAAAATAGAAGAGCTCAAGGTGATGGGTGGCATTCATTTGACAGTCATAATTATCAACAGACAGCCATAAAATGCAACTGAACAGAACGAAGAACAGATGAATTGTAATTGTAAGGCTGGTCATAGTGGGAGTAACATAGGTAGTAACATAGATGCCACATAAGCAAAATTGGTGATGTGGCAAGTAGTTAATGAGGAGAGAGGCAAATAGAGTAACATAATATGTTACCATCACATAGCGGTTTCCAATGCATAATGAGTCTACAAAGTAATAAATGAAGGCAACTATGTTAGCACACCTATGACACTACCCACTATGAAGGTAGTAACATAGACTAATAACATATGTATGTTACTAGTCTAAGTTACTCTACACTATGACCAGCCTAATACTTCAAGGGTGTGTTTGGTTTCTGTCACCAACTAGAATGGCATGGGTCGGACCCGTCCCAAGGCCTCGTTCCTGCGTTTGGTACATAAGTGGAACAAGAACCAACTCGTTCCCACCGAGGGAATATTCCTCCCATATCCGGAACGCGCCGATACCTCCAAATCGGAGGAATCGCATGGAACCGGTCTGGGTCTCGCTCGCCCGTCACTCCCGAGAAATCCTATCGCCTCTCCCTCTTTCGTCGCCTCTCCCTCGTCCCTCCATTTCTTGATCTGAAGAGGAGCAGGTGAGGCGGCCGAGCCACTGGAGGGCGATGGCCTGACCTGCGGGGGCAGCAGCGTCGTTCCTAGGACCCGTTCCTGCGGCGGTGGCGGCGTGATCTGCTTGGACGCGGCGCCGGCGGCCTGATCTGCTGGGAGGCAGCGCCGGTGACCTGATCTGCGGGGGGAGGGGCGGCTGCACCGGCGGCGCGGCGTGATCTGCTTGGACGCAGCGCTGGCGGCTTGATCTACTGGGAGGCAGCGCCGGTGACCTGATCTGCGGGGGAAGGGGCGGTTGCACCCGCGGCTTGATCTACTGGTGCGTGGCCGCCTGGCCTGCCGGGGTAGCATCTTCTCTGTAGATGGCTTCTTCTTAGCGATGATATGCATCTTCTTTTTCTTCGTGGAGGCACAGGAGCGGTAGCAGATCATAGGTTTCATACATTCTTGGTTCTTCTGTGTAAATTGCTTCTTTTTCTTTATAGAAATGTATTGGTGCAGGAGAAATATTCGTAAGATATGTTTGATATCATCTATCTACCATGCTTGTGTATACATGTTATTAAAATGACCAAATTTATTTTATTGTCTCACCAACCAAACACTCAAATGTAACCATTCCATTCCATATATTACCTCAACCAAACATAAGAACAAAACCTACCCATTCTAGTGGAATGGAATGTCATGGAACCATTACATTCCATTCTACTTCGTTCCGCAACCAAACACACCCCAAGTGATCATCGTCATTCAACACAGTGCATACGATGAACAGTCATGAACCGTCAAATGCACACACAAACAAATCAGGGATGCTTAAACCATGAAGAACACCATACATATAAGCAGATGGATCTGTGATGATTCAACATAGAAGGCTCGTTCTAGTAGCACGCAATGGCGACTAGGTATTCCAGCATTGCACAATAACTACCAGGTAACCAGGAATCCTAAACAAAATCAGTTGGCTTAACTTATGATCAGAAATCAAAACTCGGAGGACCTGTGGCGATTCTCTGATGCTAGGAACACCATATTTAAGTTACTGGCTCATAATACTATAGCTCAGATTTTGGTAACCAGCCCTAAGCTCCAGCTAAATTTGAAAACACATCAGCTCCTCATAGGGGAAATGTAGTTTGTACCAACTAGACAGATGCATGGCTCTGAGGTACTCCTATCACTGTACATAATTTATCAGCAAAACTATAACTAATCAGTATGTCAATTTGTACAAGTCATACTCAAAACTGTAATTGAGTTGGTAACTGGCAAGTGAAGGCATGGTTAAACCAGAAGTGAACTCAAAACTGTACTACACGCCATGTATCTGAAGCATGGATAAACTATCTGTGAACTGACAGCCATACACTCTACATGTAAACAGGGTTACAAAACCTGACCCTGCTTAAAACATAAACCAACTACATCAAACACATGCTGGTATAAAAATCCCTCATCAAAACTTAGTAGGACATGAAATACCTTAGTTACTAGTTAAAGCAAATCAAGAAAACAACAATCAAATCACATCCCTCTCTCTCTCTCTCTAGTAAGTGGTCTGCCACAACATATCTCCAGAAAAACACTACAACTAACACAAACATGAACTAGATAGCACAACTAGCAGCCAGTTCATCACAATTACTATGCCCTTTGGCCATTACAATGGCACAATACAAAGAGAGGTACACAGAAACAAACAAGAGCACAATACAGTTGACCATTCGAACCAAAATCAAGCCATGGAGACAAATTTAACAAGGGTGACATTATAGCAAAGGTTCTTTACTTGGCACAGCACGGTAACATCAGTACACCAGGGTACAAGCAATCCTCATAACACGAAGAAATTGATAACAGAGACATCCTGGGATCACTTCCTAGCTTGCATAACAAACACTGAAACGTCCATAAAACAAAATGCAGATAACTCTTGAGCCATGGCTCCCCCACGCGGCGGTCGGCCGGGCCGGATCTAGAACCCGAGCTTGGTGCGGCGCCAGTGCCTGCGCTTCGCGTTGTACCTGAGCACGGCAGAGAACGATTGGTCGGTCAGACCACGGACGCCTGGGCTGGATCGAAGGGAAGAGAGTGGGAGGGGGGAGGAGGCGGCCGTTACCTGATGGTGTTGTCGGTCCGCATGCGGATCCAGTAGGGGATGGGGCGGTTCTGGCGCTGCTTCTTGGCCAGCTTCTGCTTGATGCGGAAGGTCTTGTGGGACGGCTGCGAGGAGGAGAGGAGCGAACGGGGAAATCGGGTCAGCGGGAGGTTGAAACGCTGGAGGAGAGGGTGGGACTCCATGGGAAGAGAGGAGGAGAGCGTACCATCGTCGCGGCGGAGACGAAGACGCAGCGGCGACTTCGGCGGCGGCGGCGGCGGCGGGAGCAAAACCCTAGGTCCGTGAAGTGCTCGAGTGGTGGGCAGTGGGGAATATATAGTCCGGACGAGTAGCGACCAAGGATGGGCTCGTTGGGCTAGGCCTCATCTTTTGATCGATGTAGTCTCTTTTGGGCTTGGCCCACGTTAGAGAAACAAAGGGGCTCTTGGCGAGAGTGGTACAATCACATGTTAGGGCCATGAATAAATCCGACTGTGGCCCATATGTTCATTATATCCAAATGAGTTCGACAGCTCTCTTTGCTATGCCCCTTAAGTTTAAGTTGAAATAAGCTCTCAGAAATATCTATTGTAACAAAGAACTCTCAAAAGAATCTTTTCTGAGAATAGCCTTTTGGAGGGCTTTATTAATTGGATAGAATAGTTACATCACTTATAAGAATCAGCAAATGAAAGGTAGGGGGGATACTGTCCCACAAAAAATCAATGTGACTTGTAAAAATATGCATAGATAGCTCGTGCGCCACCCATTAGTTTCCTTTTCGCAGTGTTCAAGAATGTTCTTTACATTGGACGAAAGAACTCTGCATACATAAAAAAAAGTATGCCTAATTATCATGGATTTGTTACGTTGTCCGTTTAAAGCACCATGACTCCAATCTTAACAACATAGGCGGATTCATCGGGGCGCGGCTATCTCTCACTTTATGCAAGACGATAGCTTTTTTTAGAAGAATGCAATACAGTAGCTCGGCTCGCCTACAAGGAGCTGGTAGTGGGCTGGCCTAGTATCCATGTGGGTCCCTCATGCTGACCTCACACACATGGTTTTTCTTTGTAACTCATGTTTATCTTTTGGAAAATACTAATAACATATACTATGGAAAAATAGTTATTTTTTTAATGTTCATCGCATATTTAAAAAATGTTCATGCAATCTAAAACAATGTTCACTCAACTTTTATAAAACAATTATACCATTTAAAAACATGTATGTGACATATAGAAAATGTTCAAGCATTTAAAAATGCACGTGGCAATTTTGAAAAATCTATACAATGTAAAAAAAATGTCCGTATAATTAAAACAGTCATACCATTCAAAACAACTATGTGACATTTGAAAAATGCTCACACATTTCAAAATATGTTTGTGACATTTAAATCATTAAGAAATTTAAGGGAATAGTTGCATGGTCTAAATAAGGTTTAAGATCATTCAGAAATATGTTTCAATGTGTATTTGAAAAAGTTTAAGACATATTAAAAAACAAAAACATGCATTTGAAAATTTTAAAATTTGTATGAAAAATGTTTTAGATATTTACAAAAATGTGCAATTTGTATAAAAAACGTAGAAATCAAAAGATATGTTTGAAAAAATGTTAGTCATGTATTTGAAAAATGTTAAACATGTATAAAAATGGTCCTAGTGTATACAAAAATGTACAATATGTATAAAAAATAGATATATGTTGAAAAAACAAATAAAACACATAAAAAGAAAGAAAACGAAAGAAAATCTATGTAAAACAATGAAAACCCGATAAAGAGAACCGTAGGAAAAAAAACTCATGCGACAACAACAATATTGGGTTGTCCCAGTAATCCGCGCCCAAAGGCCGGACCAATTTACGTCTCACAACGGATGATAAATACTCATGTGGATTTACCGTACCTATACTCTGGACACATGCCCGGCCTCGATGCCGCCGTATACACTATGGCGAGTTCATGGTGATGGAAATTGTTGGGACGGCTAGAAACGGTGGCATGGACGGAATACAACTCATTTGGGCAAGCTAGAGCGTTCTACTAATGCCTGGGCCAAGTTCCTTAGCCATAGCCATTAGGCAATGTGTCCATTTCTCTCATCCTGCTTGGGCCACGGGAGGCCACTGCGTGAGGATATTGCATGTTTTTTTTCTTTGAACAAGATATCTCATTAATTTGGTGTCCAGTCCTTCTACAAGAAGGTCCAATTGCACCGTGATTCCAATCTTCACAACATAGACAGATTCACCGGGTCACGGTTATCTTGCTTTATGCAAGGCAGTAGCTCGGCTCGCCTATAAGGAGTCGGTAGTGGGCTGCCTAGTAGCCATGTGGGTCCATCATGCCGACATCACACACATGTTTTTCCTTTATTACTCTTGTTTATATTTTCAAAAATACTAAGAACATATATCATGAAACAATAGTTAATTTTTGTAGCGTATTCAATCACACATTTAAAAAATGTTCAATCATTGTGAAACAATGTTCACTCACCTTTTAGAAAAAATTATACCATTAAGAAATGTATGTGGAATCTAGAAAATGTTCACGAGTTTCAAAAAATGCACATGACAATTTAGAAAAATGTTATGCGACGTAAAAAAATGTTCGTGTAACTAAAACAATTGTAACATCCAAACCAATTATGTTACATTTCAAAACATGCTCACACATTTCAAATTATGTTTGTGACAATTAAAAAATTATGAAATTTGAAAAAAAATGGTTGTATGGTTAAAAAAAAGGCTTCAGATCATTCAAAAATGCTATAACGTGTATTTGAAAAAAACACATATTAAATTTTTTCAAAACATGTGTTTGTAAAATGTTAAATGTGTATAAAAAATGTTTTAGATGTACACGAAAAATGTACAATGTGTAAGAAAAAAGCAGACATAAGAAGATATATGTTTGGTGAATCAACCTGTGTTGGATGGTTAGGAGGACAATGGTATCCTCAACCCACCAGCATTCAAATTGTGGTACTCGCATTTATCCTGAATTTATTTTAGAATTTTGGTCAATGCGCGTTCAGTGGGAGGAGACGTTGAGTGTATGCACGCTTACATGAGCACTTGCGTTTGAATTGTGTTCAAAAAGAAGAAGAAGATGCATATTTGAAAAAATATTAATCATGTATAAAAATGTTCCTGTTGTATAGAAAAATGTACAATATTTTTGAAAAAAAAATGATATGTGTTGAAAAAACAGAGAAACCAATGCAAAACAGTGAAACTAATAAAGAGAGCCATAGGAAAAAAAACTCACGTGACAACTACAGTACCGGTCTAGCCCAGTTGTTCCGCACCTAGAGGTGGGACCAATTTATGTCTCGCAACGGGCGAGAAATAGCTCATGTGGATTTACCGGACCTACACCCTAGACACCTGCCCGGCCTCGATGCCGCCGTGTACACTCTGGCGAGCTCATGGTGGTGGAAATTGCTGGAACGGCTAGAAACATTTGGGTAAGCCAAAGCGTTCCACTAATACTTGGGCCAAGTTCCTTATCCATTTAGGCAATGTGCCCAATTCTCTCTTCCTGCATTGGCCACGGGAGGCCACCGCATGAGGATATTGCATGATTTTTTTTCCTTGAACAAGATATCTTCCAGTTCTTCTACAAGAAGGTCCAATTGCTTTCGTTATGTCACCCTAAAAAAATTGTTAGTCAAAATCACGTGGATGTAGTTAAGATTGTCTAAAGTAGGCAGCAGTCCTAAAAAAGGTTATATATATTAGGCAATAAGATGGAAAATGTGTGGTTCAGTAATTTGATGGTTTGGTACATCTCTACTTCTAATGGACGAATTGGTTGAATAGTCCCCCCACTTTCAACTGGTTTATTTTCAATCGGTTTATTTTCAACCGGTTTTTCTTCGTCCCACCTCCCACCAGCCCCTCCCACCGGTTTTTCTCTTTTCTCGTCTGACCGGCAATACCCAACATATTTATGGTAATCAATCATAATTAATCCACGTATAGTAATAAATCAATCCAGGTATGGTAAGGTCATAACTCAGGAAATTTTGAATATAGTAATTATATGGTAATAAATTTAAATTATCCCAAAGGCTATCAATCCAGGTATGGTAAGGCCATAACTCGGGAAATATCAAATATGGTAATAAATTTAAATTACCACCAAGTATGGTAAGGCTATCGATCCAGGTATGGCACGCCCTCACCTGATCACCTATCACAATCTCCAGCCCCACGCACGCACCAAAGAACCCACTCGGCACCAAACGCAGCTCCTCTCGATCCCCTCGAGTAAACGCCACCGCCGTCGTGCGATCTTCCTGACACAGACGCCGTCACCGCCTCCTTCCCACCTACGGCGTCCCCCACGTCCATGGTGACGGTGCTCGCGTCCTACACTGACCCTCCGCCTCATATAGGTTGGTCGTTGATGGAGTGGGATGTGCCGCTGCGGTTTGGGGAGGCGCAATCACGATCTGGTTGGGATCTCAGTGTGGAATCGTTCTCTGCGATGAAGGATGGCTGCCTCCCTGGCAAATGGGATCGGAGGAAGGGGCTCTACGTCGTGAATGTCGGCGAGGCAGCGGCCGAAGGCGAGCCCGACGGTGAGCATGGGTGTTCGTCCCATGAAATAGGCGGCCACGGAGGGCGGATCTGAGGCCACCCCAATCGCCGGTGGCCCTTCCTCCCATCGATCATCGCCTCCATTCTCTCTCTCCTCTAAATCTTTGTCGCCCCTGCCTGATTCTGGCCGACGCCATCCGGCTCTCGCATCGACCACCACCAGCACGGCTACGGACAAGGCGCAACCGCAGACGCCGCCGCCGCCATCCTCATCCACCTCCTCCACCATCCTTCCCAGCCGTCGTCGGGGGCACCCGCCATCTGCGCTCTAGCCCACCCGCTCCCTCCTATCCCCTCCCCCTGCCTGCCAGCCCCGTGATCCATCGCACAGATGGCAGGTACTACACCGACCTCCTCCCCAGCGGATCCGGCCTCCTCCGATGGAGATCCATCCTGGGCACCGCCTTATTCTCATGCGTGCACGTCTATATCAACGTCTCATTCCACCTCACCTGAGCCTTTACCTTCCCACCTCTGCTTCAGATCCACATCACTTTTGCAAGGTATGTGCTTGATTGTTCCGAACTGGATCGATGGATTGTGCAAGGTACTTTGGGTGTCGTCATTGACGGCAATTGTCACG